GTTAGTCTCTCTGTAGCAGTAGAAAAGAGCAAGAGTCCAGTAGCACCTTAAAGACTAACAAAAATTTGTGGCAGGGGGGGGGGGGGGTGGGAGGAGGGGGGAGGCAGGAGGGGAAGGGGTGGGCAGCTGCAGCGCTGGTGCCCTCCAGAGGAGGTGGGCGAGACGCGGCTGGTTCTGGAAGGACCCTCCCATGGGGGCCCGGAAGGATCAACTGGAGGAGGAGGCAGAGAGAGCAAGAGAGAGCGAAGAAGGTTGGGACAACTGGGGGGGGGGCAGGGAGGAAGGTGGAGGGTCGGAGGAGCCATCACAGGGTGAGGGGGTCCTCCTTCCATACTGATTTTAGGGGAGGGGGGAATGGCCTTGAACAGAAAGTATTCTTAAAAGCAGGAGGGCTTTGCCTTTGAAACACACACCGGAGGGGAGGGATCTGCTTTGGTTTCAGTTTAAAAAGGATCTCCCCCCCTCCAGGTCTCTCTTTGATTTGGAGGTTGGGGCACAAGCTGGATCTGATGGGGAGGGTGGAAGCTGGAAGGGGCCTTCAAGAAACCATAGTCCAGCCAAAAGAACCTTCCACCACCACCCTGAGCCCCTTTTCTATCTTTCCATTTTTTGTTTCCCTTTTTCCCCCCCTTTCCCTTCCTTTCCTTCATTCACTTCCCCCTTTCTTTTCCCTTCTTTCTTTCCCTTTCCCCCTTTCTTTCTTTCCATTTCTTTCCTTCATTCCCTTCCCCATTTCCTTTCCTTTCTTTCTTTCCCTTCTTTCCACCCTTTCCCTCCCACCCTTTCCCTTCCTTTCCTTCATTCATTCCCCCTTTCTTTTCCTTCCTTTCTTTCCCTTTCCCCCTTTCTTTTCCTTCATTCCCTTCCCCCTTTTCTTTTCCTTTCTTTCTTTCCCCTTTCTATCTTTCCTTTTCTTTCTTTTCCTTCATTCCCTTTTTTCTCTTTCTTTTCCATTTCAAGGACCTAGCATAGCAATACCTCTGGCCCAGCCCCCCACCCCACTAGGGAAATTGGAAAGTCTACGCCCTTGCCTGGGAATGGTATTTCTGAGGGTGGTGGTGGTATGCTGTACTCTAGGCTCGGAAGCATTTATGAGCAGCACAGAAGCAAGGTTAATATTTCTGAAGAACTCCACAGAAAACCTCAGTGGTGCTTGCTTAGGCCGCATTCCCATAATAAGTATAAGAACTGATTTGTGCACTATGAGAAGCAGGGAAGAAGCAGCTTGTACTTCCAAAGGAAAGTACAGTGCCAGGGCTCATGAGCTCAAGGCCCACTGGTCTCCTTATGGATGCCATCTGCAAATCAGCAGTCCCATTCCTGTCTCTCCCAGCTCCTGTTCTCTTCCCTACTCCAAGTAACAGCTAGCAGCAGTAACAGATTTTAAACCTTTCAGTCGTCCCAGGGGGAGTATGGCCTACCATTTGTAAAATCGTTAGCCATAACTATATCAAGGTCTGTTACTAATCAAATATACATTTGTTCAGGGGTCATTTCCTGCAGGAGCGCACAGGAGCAGAGCTCCGGCAGTAAAGAGCCCAGGGGGCGGGCACATGCAACAAGCCCCACCCTCTGCTCCCAGCAGCCCTCAGTCAGAGCAAGAAGCAGCCAGGTAAGTTGCACACACACCCCAGTCCAAAACAGTCCAGTGGCACCTTTAAGACCAAGTTCTATTCAGGTACAAGCTCTCCCTCCTCTGTTGGACAGATCTGCACTCCCCCCCCCGCCAATAGCTAGCAACCCAAAACAGTCCAGTGGAGCCTGAGCGGTGGGTGTTGCCTTCTGACACACTTCTGGTGATGTCAGGGGGTGTGGCATATGCAAATAAGTTATGCTAATGAGCTCCTGCACCTCTTTTTCTATGAAATGATTCCTGCATTTGTTTGCAATTTCATTCCATCCTAAAAGTTGATCCTCCAGCTATGGAAAGGCTTGAGCATTATGCTTCTATGGGTACCAGCGGTACTGTTACAAATATGCACTGCTACTGCCATTCCTTTACTGGTAATGAAGGTCTTCAGTTGTCTATGACATGATACTACCCAATGCCATGCAAGTCCTCTGGATCGGGGAAATAATCTTCCATGCACTACAGTAGTGGGGTAGGGCAATGACACTCAGAACAATAAAATAACCATCCGGAATGTTAACATTCAGAAAAGTTAACAAAATAATTTCTTAAACAATTTGAAGTCTGTCTATATCGTTTGAAATCCCGCCTTGTTGTTACAAGTATTCAAGAATAGGATACCATATTGGCCCCGTTCATACGAGGCAGTTTGGGCCGGGAGCGGGCCAGATTGGAAGCGCAGCAAACGGGCGCGATCCCACGCCAACATCTGGCTGGCGTCGCGCTCCCGCCTCCAATCTGGCCCTTCCCCTGATGAAGCGCGACAAAGATGAACCACCTACCTTCGGTGGTTCATCCGGATGGTCCGCTTCATCCCGGCCGTGGGATCAGCGGCGCGTGTTGCCGCCGTCGCATCCCCGGCCCCCTGCCGTACTGCGCATGCTCGAGCATGCGCAGTACGGCAGCCTCCCCCTCCGACTAGTATCTTCCTCCCCGGCATCTGATCGTGCCGGGGAGCAATGGAGCGCGGCAACCGGGATCCATGGGATCCCACCGGGGCGTTTCTTTTTGGGCGTGGCTTTTAAAAGCCGCGCTTCGCCCCGTCTTTCCCCTGCCGTGTGGCAGGGGCCATTGTAAACCACAATTTGCTCTTTTCTATGCAACTAAATTTTACTGACCATGTTATTTTCTCCATTAAGTATAAGTACCATAGTTTGCTATGCCATACATCTAAAGACGGTGTTCTTTCAGATTTCCAATATGTAGCAATAACAGCTTTTGCAGCATACAAAAGTAAAGCTATACGTGTTTTATTTATATTGTGTGTATTAAGTTCTTCCCTGTCATTTAGCAATACAAGTTCAGGTTTAAAAGGGATATTGACATCAGTGATATTTTTTACTTGATCTAGAACTTGAGTCCAAAATATTGAAATTTGGAGGCAAAACATCCAGCAATGTAGGTAAGTTCCTTTTTCCTTACATTGTCTCCAACAGGTGGGGTTTAAGTCTTTAATGTGGGCTATTTGCACTGTGGTAAGATACCAAAAGGACATAATGTTGAATGCCTGTAGTTGGATAGTGATTGTGGAGGAGGTGTATTCAA